ACTTAACCTGTCGAATCACAAGGCAAATTTAAGCATGCTTTTCTAATAACTGATTGCTACATATTTATAATCTAATAAGTATTGTTGTTCGTAGATCAAGCAATTCAATGCAGTCAACACAATCAAGCACATAGATCACATATTCATATGTTATTGATTTATTCATTATCCGTAAAATCTTTTTTTTTTTTGGACAAACGGATTCTTTTACGTAAGGTCTAAACTCCCAACTAGGAGGGCGAGTTCAAGGACACAAGACCAGATTTAGCCAACGCCTCGGCTAATACATTGTCCGAGCGCGGAATAAAAACAAAAGAGATAGATGTGAAATCCTTTCTAAGACAACTAATGTCAAAGAGAAGGGGTTTCAACTCATTGTGCACGCCATTAGAGTTAATTAGCGTCACAAGAGAGAGGGAGTCCGAGAAGCAATTTAGAGCTTGGAAACCGACTGATTTAGCTGCAATTAAGGCAGCTTTCAAAGCAAGTGCTTCTGCGATCAGCACCGAATCTATGTTGCGGTGCGTTGCGGAGCCTTGTAATATTATCGACATGCTTGAGTCTTTGAAGCACCACCCAATGCTACAGTCCCGTGATGCCATTGCCCACGAAGCATCTACAAAACAGTGAGTTGCCACCTGTGATATAGCCGACGGGGGAGGGTGTGTTCGGCATGGCTTTCGTGTCACTCCAGTAACCTGAGCATCTTGCCAATTTCTGCCTTCTTTGATGGCTCGTAACAGCACCTCTGCGCTGAGGACCAGCAGTTCTCAAACATCAATTGATTTCTAGCTTTCCATAAGTTCCACATTAACCACGGGTACAAGGGAGAAACAGAGAGACCTATTGGCGGGAGATTGACATGTCGTCTTGCTGATGCAAGGAATTGATTCATTGTGCTCGGTGAGTTCTGGCTGTTTGGCTCCGGCTTGAATAAGACTGGAGCTAGTTCCCACACTTGTGCAGCAAAGGGGCAGAGGAGAATGACATGTAATTCATCTTCCATTGCTCCGCAGTGCTTACAAAAAGGCACATTTTGGATTCCTCGAATCTCCAAGTTGTTACCCACGGCTAGAGCTTTGTTCTTCATCTTCCACATAAACGTTTTTAGCTTCGGTGAGGTTTTGACTTGCCATATGCAAGCTTTCCAATCAAACTCTTCATTAGTGACCGGTGATACGTTTATTTTTGTCAATGCATATCCGGATTTAGTTGTATAAGATCCTGATTTTATAGGTAACCAAGATATGGAGTCCTCCATTTCATAAGAACTCAATATAATTCTTGTAATCAACTCCTCATAATGAGGTAAATGGTGTCTAATAGCCTCCAAATCCCAAGTCTTTGATTCCTTGTGAATCAAGTCAGCCACTCTCATATTACGTAATTCAAAGGGAGGTGGGGCGTACGGTTGTAGCGGGGTCGAAGGTGAGAGCCAGGCGTCTCCCCATACCTTGATGTTGAACCCGTTACCTACTATCCAGCCACAACCCTTTAGTAGCACTTCTCTTCCTGCTATAATTCCATACCAACCGTGTGAGGCATTCGAGATAGATGAGCATTCCATAAAGGATGATGATGG